AACCACCTCAAAAACCCCCTCCCTTAAAACCTGCAAGGCCCCGTCAAAGCAGCCCCTGCAGAGTCGGTAACGCCTGAGCGCAGATAAAAAAAAAAAAAAAATGTATCTGTTCTAGAAAAAGCAATATTTTCAACTAATCAAAAAATGAAGCAATATGTTCTTCTTTGGATAGATTTCATTATAGTTTACAATAATGCAGGGGTATTATTACATAATGTTTCAAAATGTCTTGTATATGATAATATAGTATTATAAGGAATATTTTGTAAACTAGTAATTTCTGTGTGTTTAACATATAAACATGTTAGACGTTTAATACTGCAATTTGTTATGTTCTGGTAGGGTGTTTAAATGTTGGGGGGGTCTTTTTCTTTTAGTTTTGGTTTAGTTTTAATTCTGTTCATTAATTGTTTTAATATTGTATGGTTCCTTTCTGTTGGTTACCTTTGGTAGTCTAGTACTCTATTTTGGCAGTCTTTAAAGAAAAAGAATAAATATTTAAAAGGAGTGATTTTTTTTAATGTCAAGGCTTAATTGCAGTATAGTGATATTTTACTTAAAACAATTAGTTAATCTAATACATGTTTATTATGTATTATCTATTAAGGTTTTTTTTAACTTGCTTTATAAAGCTACTAATAAAAATAGTTTGTTTATATTTGTATAAAAAACTGTGCTTGCTTTTCTAATTTTCACCATTTGACATTTACTTTGTTATATTTTTAAATTAGCACAAACCTTTTGCACAGTGCCATGATAATAGATGAGACTCCTCTAACCAGGAGGTGCTTGGCTGAAGCTCTAGCCCAGCAGTTCTTTGGCTGCTTCATATCTAGAATGTCTTGGTGAGTAAATGGATACTTTGGAAAAAGAATTTTGCATTTGAGTATGTGAAGGATTAGCATAATGCTAATGTAGGTTACTACTAGTACCATCCTGAGCTTCATGACTAATTGTAAGAACCATCAGTGACAGCTCTACTGAATTTATTTAAATATTCATTGCCGTATCCTGGAACATATTTTGAACTAATAAAGCCCCCAACAAATATTCAACAAGCACCTCAAAACATGGCTGGTTAAAACATTAGCACAGACTGAAAGCATTTCTGAAAGGATAATTTGAAAGTACAGGTAGTCCTCGCTTACCAGCCACAATTGGGACTAGCAACTCACTAAACAATGTGGTGATAGTGAAAAGTCACGTGACAGCATCCGACTTACAACATCAATTCATCAGTTCTGCCTGCAGTGAATTACCATGGGTTGTTAAACACATCACATGACCATGATATCCTGCTGGCTTCCCCATTGACTTTGCTTGTCCAAAGCAAGCTGTGAATATTGCAAATGGCAATCACATAACTGCAGGATGTTGTGACCATCATAAGTGCGCGCTGGTTGCCAAGTGCCCAAAATGTGATCATGTGACTGCGGGGACGCTGCAACAGCCAGAACTTCGAGGACTGGTCATAACTTCAAAAGGTACTGAATGAGTGGTCGATAAGGGAGGACTACCTATATTACTGAAAGTACACCAGATTCCAAGTGTGGGCACACCATAAAAATGTATATAAAAACATTCTTATGTTGGCAGTTTTATTTTCAATCTCTTTCCTAATAATTCAGAGCAGGGCTATTTAATTATTGTGCACTAGGCTAGTGTTTTCATTGAGTTATTTACCATATTATTATCCTTTTTGTAAATGCATCAATGCCAGGCAGATTCCCTTCATATACAGGAAGTCCTTGCTTACCGACCACTTGTTCAGCAATCGTTCAAAGTTACAATGGTGCGGAAGAAATAACTTTATGTCCAGTTTACAACCATTTACTACCTTTGCAACATCCTCAGTCACATGATCACCATTACAGTCAGTATGCGTTCTCCTGTGCCTGACCTGTGGTTCCCCCCCCCGCCGCAGAGTAGCGAGATTGGAGAGGAAGGGATTTCAAGAGAGTAAGCTGTTTGTAAGCTCTTCTACACATCGAAAGCAATGTGATTGCACTGGCAGCTTGGGGCTGGGAGCTGCAGGTGCACTATGCAGCTTACTCTCTTGAAATCCCTTCTTTTCCAATCTCTCTGCTTGTGAGGGGGAGGGAAGGGTCAGGCAAAGAAGAGATTGCCTACAGGAATCATTTGCTTTTTTTCTCCCCAGCCCCTTGCAGAGCAGAGAGATTGGAGAGGAAGGGATTTCAAGACAGTTCTGTAAGCTGTTTGTGTAGCACATCTGTGGTTCCCAACCCCAGGCTGCCAGTGCGATCACATTGCTTTTGATACGTAGAAGAATAAGCAGCTTACTCTCTTGCAGTCTCTTCCTCTCCAATCTCTCTTCTCAGCAATGTGGGGGGGAAGGGTCAGGCGAAGGAGAGACTGCCTACAGAAATTGCTTGCTTTTTTTCCTCCCCCCACTCACAGAGCAGAGAGATTGGAGAGGAAAGGATTTCAAGAGAGTAAGCTGTTTGCATAGTGTGCCCGTGGCTCCCAGCCTTAGGTTGCCGGCTCAATCGCATTGCTTTTGATGTGTACAAGACAGTAAGCAGGCACTCGAGCATTCCAAAGGGCGGGGGAGTGGCTGAGAGGCAAACAAAGGCTGAAGGTGTGAAACTGAGTAACCTTGTCTCTTTTCAGCTGGAAAGCACAGTCCCAATCACATGCTTTTCCACTTAGTGGCAGGGTTGCTGGTCCCCATTAGGGTCATTAAGTGAGGACTACCTGTACACATCCACGTATTTATTTTCTCCAGTGTTTATCCCAGTTGCTTACATCAAACTACATACCTGGTCTGGAGAGTTCCTTTCGTAGCTCTTCCCAATTTGCCTTTGAAGAACAATTTCTTTCTGGAGATCAGACTCGTCCCATCTTTGCTTGCCTTTTGGAAGTTGTAGAAGTCTGAGCTCTTTCAAAGCAAGGCTATAGAAAAAGAGGATGCCATCTCTGATGGCTGGGTATTGTGGTTTTGCTCTTAGATGATTGTGTGTGTATCTTTGATATCTTAATTTGTTTATTATTATTTTTCTTCTATTTTTTATTGTAGACATTTTAGTTATTTTGGCTATAGTTTTTAATTGTTGTATATTCATCTTTGAGCCTGTTTGGTGTAGTGGTTAGGGCACCAGACTAGAAACCGGCAGACTGTGAGTTCTAGTCCCACCTTAGGCACGAAGCCAGCTGGGGGACTTTGGGCCAGTCACTGTCTCTCAACCCTAGGAAGGAGGTAATGGCAAACCACTTCTGAAGATCCTTTCAAGAAAACTGCAGGGACTAGTCCAGGCAATCACCAGACTTCAACACTGGCTCAGAGGCACTATATGTATGTATGTGCATTCATCTTGTAAACTGCCAGGAGTCTGAGAGGATTCGAAAGTAGACAAGCTTACAAAAACGAATAAATAAAATCTGCAACTTTGGCTGCTCTTCAGAAACAGAACAATTTTCAGTTGCCAAGTTTTTCAGTAGCTTTGTGATTCTCCTAGGTACTGCTTGAGGACATATACCTCAACTGAGAGATCATCTGTCTTTTGGTTACTTAGACATCCAATGTTGTATCAGCTGTGAAAATATTTCTACTAGGGAAGTATCAGATAGGAGCTGTCTGATTTTAGGCTACTCTGTGAATCGAGAGATGTTATATTTCTCTTTTTTGCTTACAGGTCAGATGAATGGGTATTAAAGGGAATCTCTGGCTATATTTATGGACTTTGGATGAAGAAAACATTTGGTGTTAATGAATATCGTCACTGGATTAAGGAGGTAATACATCCAGATGGATAGCACTTTTGGAAACATCTCTAAATCTTCAGAGGATAAGTTCAACAAAGCTGTTGGTGCTCTTCATATATTTAAAGCAAAGTCCCCCACAAATTAGAGGGACATAAACCAAGATCCAAATAACATGTATGTGCCATTTTGGAACTATTCTGTAAAACAATGTGGATTAAAGGCCTGGGTAGTCCATGAATCAAATAAACAGCTTTCTGAAATATTAATGTAATCTAAGTATACATTTTGATACAGCATTTTATTGTGTTGGGGTGCCTACTTAGCATGACCAACTAAGTATTAGTTAAGTGTTAATAAATCACAGTACAGAAAAATCCACAAGTCTCTGAGAACTTGAAAAGTGCTTAGTGTGATTTTGATTGTGACAAGATAGCTGCTTAGAATGTTAGGAAGAACGATTCTATATTAGCCTTCTCTTTGATTTTTTAATACTTGATGTGGAGGGAATTTGTATTTAAAGAGGAGTGTTCAGTTATGTGAGCTCCCTCCTGCTGTCAGTAGTAGCATAACCAAGACTGGTTTACTGTCTGAGTCAGAAATGGGCTCATGTTTTAGAGAATACTGTACTTCTCTACCAATAAAATGTTTTTGTCTAATTCAACCATTCCTGATCTGGAAGATTTTCAGATGTTTGGAGACCCATACATCTGGTGAACACCCTGGTTGGGGAAACCAAAATACTGTAGTTCCAAGTAACAATTCACTCTGAATATTAGGAACAAGACACCTAGCAAGGAAGTGTGGGGAGGTGGGGGGTAGCAATGATGGGGCTATGTATATCTTCATTTTCTACAGTTTAAAGCAGATTTTTTTTCCTGCAATTTGAAGCAGAATTTTCTTCTATTTTCTTAACAGTTTAGGAATGTTTTGGTAAAATGTTTGTATGAACGTTTGTATTCATTTTCTTGGGTGGAGGGAACTTTGAGTCAGTCTTGACTCTTGGTGACTGCATTTTCTTGACAATGTTTTTGGAAGTGGTTTTCTTCCTTTGGCTGAGGGTGAGTGATTGCCCCAAAGTCACCCAGCTGGCTTCGTGCCTAAGGCAGGACTGGAACTCACAATATCACAGTATTTAGCCTGGTGCCTAGAACACTACATGAAACTGGCTCTTCTACAGTAATTACTATTAGGGTATGTATTTTGGTTTCCTGGTAGTTGTTGTATCTGACTGACCTTTTTTGAACTTTGGTTCTAGTCAGTACTTGAATAGGAGACCTGAAGAGATTACCAGGGCTGTAAACTAGGCTGGAAAGTCAAGAAACTTCCCAGAAGAAGACATTGTACATTTTTATTCCCAGTATTGAACCTTTTTATTACTGTAGCCAATAAATTATGTTGATATGTCTATGATGTCACCAAGTCAACTCAGCTCAAAAGAACTTTATCTTTTTAATGCATGTGTGTACATATATTTAATGAGTAAACTGTATTGTAACATTCAGAGAAATTAGAATGTGATTGTGTTCTGGTTCATGTATTTGTTGGGGAAGGGCAAACTCGGTTAGTTCTAATTAAAGTGTGAGCCAAATTAATCCTTCCTCATCCATCCCCAAAATTTTCTCTGGCAATTTATCCCATTATCTTTGCCATCAATAGTAGGGTTAGATAAGCAGCCATTTCTAGGCAACTGTATTCCATTGTGGACCTCTGAATTAAGTCATCTTGATAGGCTTCTGAGAAACCCCAGGATGTGAAAACCAGATTACAAATCATTATAGAATACAGCTGTTAGTGGAACAGTGGGATGTGGTTTGAAATAAGAATGTGCTTGTGATTCAAATTCCCAACCTCGCTGGGGTGAGTACATATGTAAGAAAAAGATCACTAGGCTGAAAGAATATGCTTTTCATTCTTATATGCCTTGATGTGCATGTTGTGGCATTAGCTAAGGTTTTATCTATAACTAGTCTGCTCTTTTTAATTAAGTACATGCTCACAATATAATGTTTTGCATTTCAGGAACTAGACAAAATAGTGGCGTATGAATTAAAGACTGGTGGTGTCTTACTGCATCCAATCTTTGGTGGAGGGAAGGAAAAAGACAAGTATGTTTAGTAAGCAATGGATAGAGTTACAGGGCAATTAATATATGCCTGTTTGAAAAGTAATGAGAAATTGGGCCTAAGGCTTAAATTATTTCTGTTTGATAGTCCTGTGAAGGACACATTTGGCAAATATTATCCGGATAGAGTTACAGGGCAATTAATATATGCCTGTTAGAAAAGTAATGAGAAATTGGGCCTAAGGTTTAAATTATTTCTGTTTGATAGTCCTGTGAAGGACACATTTGGCAAATATTATCCCTGTTTGTGTGTTTGTATACACACACACACACACACACATATACACATGTGTGTGTGTGTGTATATATATGTATATACATATATATGTGTGTGTGTGAAATGAATATGTGTATTAACTGAATATATGTTCAAAAAATGTTTCAGTGAAAACCAATAGGTTCACTGGAGAAATGAAAATAACATTTGGTTTATTTCATAAAATATTAATATTATTTTATTAGTTAAAGCATAAGGGGAAAGTTGCACATGTTTTATAGTAAGTAAAAAGGTCTTGTAATACTTAAGACAAAGTTTTTGTATAAGTTTTCTTGGATTATAGTTTAATTTAGATGTAGATAGCTTTTGATCCATAAAAGCTTATTCTGTAATAACTTTGTTAATCTTTATGGTTCCACAAGACACTTCATGTTTTAGCTGAAAAATACTAACACAGTTACCCGTGTGGAAATAGTTGATGTCCTTTAATATACTTAAAGGCTACTTATACATTTGGTCTACATTATATCTTTGGTGTTTTTTGTTCTGCTTGTTTACCACTAGCTTGCTGTGTTAAGCATTTTGCAGTTCTCTAGTTTATATCCTGCTGTAAAGGTCAGCAATATGATTGGTATCTCTAAAATGATTTTAAACAATAATCTTAACGATTCCTGTCTTCTTGAGTAGAATACTTTTTCCAGAAGTTACCTTCTATAAAATTCACATACTCAGGGATGAATTGTGGAATAGCCATTATTTCTTAGCATGATGATAAAGAGGAACACCAATGTACTTCTTTTTGTAACCATTCATAGAATCACTATGTTACTAATATTCAGGTAAAAGCACATCACTGTTTTTTCGAAACAGAGGTGAATGTTTCATTTATTACTTTGGTTTTAATTTTACATCCCACCCTTACCTTAGAAGTTCTTCAGAAATGAATAAAGTTTGCAATAACATGAATTCTGTTTTTAATGTTATAGATGTTTATGGTTAATACTGTGTAATTCATGAATTAGTAGAATCCCATCTGCCTTTTTTATTTCTATTGCAGTCTCAGCTGCAGTACGTTTTTCATATAAAATATACCATGAATGAAAAATTATCTTGCTTTAATTTTCCAGCCCTGCATCACATTTACATTTTTCTATAAAACATCCTCACACATTGTCCTGGGAATATTACACCATGTTTCAATGCAAAGCCCACCTAGTTATGAGACTAATAGAAAACAGAATAAGCATGGAATTTATGTTACAAGTAAGTATTTGGATCATCTATTGAAATATATTTGATTTTTTTTAATTAGTGTTTCTTTTTTACTTAATACTTGTTAAAAATGATTGATTTCAGTTCCTTAGATATAATTTATAAAATAAAACATAGATCATGAATAAAGAAATTGTTTCCATTCTACATAAACATATACTCTTCATTAATGCTGAGAGATTATGAAAAGTTAACTTCAACTTGAGAAACTTTGAGATTCTTTGTTTAAAGACTTGTAACCAGGGTTTGAAGTCGGATAACAAAGCTGGCTAAGACAAATGGTTAACTTGTAACCACAGATGATGTTGTCTAAGATTTCTGCAGTCATATACATATTTAAATGGTAAAAAATTACATTAAACTTAAACATTGTAACTGTAATCCAGACAAATGAATGAGAATTGTCTTTAGGAACAGACTGTGGGAAAACAATATGTTGTTATTTTATAATGTTTGGTTAGGAGAAATCTTAAAGAGAAATCCTGAACAATATTTGCTATATTGACATTTGTTTGAATATTTGTTATATTTCTTACAGATGAAATAGGTTGTTAGCAAAGCAACTGCATCATGTTGCCTTGACATCATTCTCTGAGTCTTAGTAGTATGAACACCTCTTTACATGGCTGGCCCTTTAACTGTCCCTTGCATTTTGAGTTGACTTGTACCCACATCCAGATTTTCTCTTTTGGTCTACAATAACATACTATGGAATCAGATCTCTTCTCGCAAAACTGTTGCACTCATTGATGTAAGCAACTGAATCAGTTCTGAGTGTTTTCCCATGGAAACAATTAACAATAAACTTAAGGCTTTTAGAAGCATGTTTCTTTCTTACTTTGTATTGGATACTGAGTGTATTAACAGTGATGTACTAAAAGGAATTCTGGAATATAGGCTGTGTTAATCTAAATATGAGAAATTGGGAAATACAGCCAGGGAAGGCTCTCTTGTGTGTTCTCATAGTCAGAAAGTTAGCTGCTGCTGGAACATTGACATTAGGCTGATCCAGCAAGACACTGTTTATGTTTGATTTGCAAACAGTGTATTTTGGCACTAATCAGTTTTCAGAAATGTCTTCATGTCAAGATTGTTGTAGGAGTAATGAGGTTATATGCAATAGATGTGGTTTGAAGTTTTGATTTAATTGATTTAATTTGTATATTGAGCCAGGACTTATTAAACTCTGAGTTCAATAAACTATAATTGGCTGTATTTTCACAACACTAGGCCATACAATATAGTTTAACACAATAGTACAATAGCTGAATTCACATGATACGCTTAGTTCAAAAAGTAAATCAACTTTTGTTTTAATGAAATATTTAAACTTGGTCTTTCTGATGTTCTCTGCTTCTCTTTGTTCTCTGTAAAATGTTTAAAAGCAATACTAATCTTGTTTCTTATCAGAGGTACAATACAAAGGAACAAAACCAAAATTCCTCCAACTTTTACTGCTGATGTTTATTTTTTAAGTGACAGAAGGCAGAAGTGATTAAGTGTAGGAGAAATGATCTTGCTAATTGTTTTTAATTAAATCAAATCAAATGTTTTTAGTCTGGTTCTGTGTTCAAAGGTCAAGTGTGATTTGCAGTCCTCAGAACTTCCTTGAACATTCCTTTTTTTAAAGGTGTACAATTATGTTATTGTCGTTTGCATTTCTCAAGAATTTAAGAATCACTTTATATTTATGAATCTGACCAATTTATGAATCTGGCTTAATTTCATCATAGGTTTTCAACAAATTGTTGAGTCTAGCGAGCACAGCTTCTTCCCAGAAGTTCCAATCTCATATGTGGAGTCAGATGCTGGTTTCTACATCTGGGTTTTTGAAATCCATCTCCAATGTGTCTGGCAAAGACATTCAACCTTTAATTAAGCAATGGGTGTATCCTTTTCTATTGTGCTTTGGGCTACTTACATGAAGATGAAAAGCAGCTGTTTAGGGCCAACTAAACGAATGGGTTAAGGTATGAAAAACAATCTTTGACAACTTTGTTCAAACTGTTACCTTCTTTTGTAATGAGCAGTCCCATTTTGGTGGTGGTTTTGTTTAATATTTAAATGTTTTATAGTAGTGGGAAGGAATACGGCCCTTCAAAAAACAGACAGGAACTCTAATAGAATTCAAGGAATGCTACCCAAGAATTCTTGTAAATCTTCATTTCAGATTAATGAAAATACCACAGGTAAATGGATTCTCAGGTTTGAATTGTAAAAACATAACCATAACACCAAAACAGTTGTGACAATGCATCCTAGTAATTTAAATCACTCTGTGAGTTAATGACAAGGAATGTTTGGTGCAAATCTTGAAACTCGCAAATCTACTTGGCAGTTTAATCTGTTAGTTTGGGGATATTACCTTGTGGATAGAATGACGTTCACAAAAGTAAATAGAACAGATTTGCTTCCACAGATAGTTTTCACTAATGTAGTGTCCTTGATAATTAAGATGCAGATTTCTGCCAATCTCAGTGCAGCCACTCCTCGTTTAGCAACTACTTCAGTTAGCGACCATTCACAAATCCAGGTAGTCCTCAGTTTACAACCATTCAGCAATCGTTCAAAGTTATGATGGTGCTGGATGAGGAGACTTACGACAGGTCCTTGAAGTTGCAGCCGTTGCAGTGCCCCTGTGGTCATGTGATTGCTGTTCGGGTGCTTAGCAACCAGCTCGCAATTATAATGATCGCAGGTGGTCGTGTGGTTGCCATTTGTGACCTTCACTGCTGGCTTCCAACAAGCAAAGGCAACAGGGAAGCTGATAGGAGATCACAAATGACAATTGTGATATCACCCCTAACAAAGGGATTTGCCTGACAACTGGAACTACTGTCATAAGTCGGCGCGGTCATGTGACGTGCTTTATGATTGCGTCTTTAGAGACTGAGTTCCCGGTCCCAATTACCATTGATAACAACAGTAATAAACAGTAGTAAATAGTAGTAAAAAAATCATTTTCCAACCGATGTGCGCGTTTACAACCAAATTTCTGCACCTGACAACAATGCACACTAGAGTGAGAGGAACACTGGTGTAGCTGCATGGGAGAACTTTATCTGAAAGAAAGAGCAGCAACCAGCAATCTTCGCAGTGTCTTTCTCTGTCAGTCACGTGTTTGCTTAACAACTGTTTTGCTTAACAACAAAGTCACTGGGATGAATTGCAGTTGCTAAATGAGGAGAGAGTGTAAAAGTGATCTGTATTTGGGGTTGATAGGAGGTGGAATCTAAAACATCTGGAAGGCATTAATCATGGAAGATTATTCTGGACAGTGAATTTCATACACTGTTCACATCTTCATCATGTATAGAAGTATATTCTTCTATACCAAAAGTATAGTGTACCTTGATTTGCCATTTCTTGAAGCCGTATATGGTGGATAAAAGAATTCTGAAAATGGTAATTCCGTCAATAAGGAAAGTGTATGCTTCTCTTTTAAAAGTGTGCTTTGCTTATCCTAAACTGTTGTTTCAAAAACAGTTAAAAATCTAACACATGAAGGAGATTCACAAATAGAAGCAAATTCAGTTTAGTTTGTTTTACAAGTATATTATCTGCAGTCAGCAAAGATTGTCATTCATTAACCCATTATTCTTAATCAAGCCTAATTTTCCAAACACCCTGGGAGTTCTCCAAAATATAATGAAATTTGCAAAATGATACAATGAGCCAGTTCCCCAATTTGTTTTTTCCACTAATTGCTTGATTTTTTATGATTTGCAGCCAGCTGCAACTTTTCTGTTAATGGAATGCTTCCATCAGCAACCTAAAAAGAAACTGATTTCATTTAAAGTCTATTCTAGAATATTTAAGAATTATCTAGGGCAGATTTGAAGTATTTTATTCTGTGGGGCAGAGGTGGAGAGGAAGACTCGCCACATGTGAAGATCTGCAGTCAAAAAATGTTACATGTAACTATAGGTGGTCTTCACTTAACAACCACTCGTTCAGCGACTATTCAAACTTACAATGGTGCTAAATGAGTGGTACTTATGAACAGTCCTCATACAGCCGTTACAGCTGTTGCTGTGGGGTCCCCACAGTCCCGTGATTGTGATCTGAGTGCTCAGTGACACGTGATTGTGATTTGCAACGTTTAGCAACGTACATTCTAGTCCCAATTGCTGCTGTTAACCAAGGAGTACCTATACATGTAACTAACTTTCCTTTATTAATCTACATTTGGACTGTTTTTATTCAAATTTCAAGAGCAAGATAAGTGTTTGAAATACAAAGATGTCTGCATGCAAAGTGACTTTTAACAATTTGGGATTATTGACATATTCATCAGAGAAGGCACAGTTTTTCCAAATTCTAAATAAATGAAACTTGTGCATTGCAGTTAAGTCTATAAGCTTGAGAAATATAAAGTATCAGTTTTTATCCTATTAAGTTTGGCAGAGATCAAAGCAGTGTGGTCAAATTTTATGGCAGTTTTGCATTTAATAGAAAACGAAATGTACTCGAGTTAGAAATAAAGCAAGACTATACCTCTCCTGGGACGCAGAAATATGTGGTAAGTTTACTTTTTTCAATCTTTTCCTGAAATCTGTTAAAATTGTTAAATATTGCATTACAGTTCCTTTTGGGTTAAGTTACTACCATTGAATTAAGTGGCTGTTTTATTAGCCTAAACCCTATTTGCAGAATTAATGGCCCCCACTCATTTTAAACACTTTTTTCATATCTCTTCAATGCAAATTGAGTATTATTTTCATTCATTGAGTTCTAAGGCTGTATCCTTTCTTTCTGTCCACCTGTGGAATATTTTCACTTTAGTCTCTATAGCACCACTCCAAATATGCTCCAGGGTCAAGGATACAAGTAGTCCTGGGGTTATGATGGCAATTGAGACTGGGATTGTCATCACTAAGTGAAGCGGTCGTAAAGTATGTCACGGGACTGCATCGCTTAGCAACAACAATCCCAGCAGTCCCAGTTGCCAGTGTAATCCCATGACGTGGGTCATTAAGCAGGAAGAAGGAGGAATCCCAGGCAAGGAGTGGGGAAAACCTGTAATCACTTAGAACGAAGGGTTTAGCAGATAATCTTTAGATCCAAGCAAGCTTTATACTCCATCCAGACTGGATC